ACCCTCTTCCAACAACACAAGAGAAGACTCTACACATGGACATCACCAGATGGTCAACACCGAAATCAGACTGATTATATTCTTTGCAGCCAAAGATGAAGAAGCTCTATACAGTCAGCAAAAACAAGACTGGGAGCTGACTGTGGCTCAGATCATGAACTCCTTATTGCCAAATTCAGACTTAAATTGAAGAAAGTAGGGAAAACCACTAGACCATTCAGGTATGACCTAAATCAAATCCCTTATGATTATACAGTGCAAGTGAGAAATAGATTTAAGGGACTAGATCTGATAGACAGAGTGCCTGATGAACTATGGACGGAGGTTCGTGACATTGTACAGGTCTGCCTTAGCTCTCCTAAATTCCTATGTGATACATGGTCCCCCGGCCCTCTGTTAAGCACTGGGCTTCTCTGCACGGGGCTGCGGGCAGGGGAGCAAGTTACACAGACCCTTGTGCTCCCTTGTCCTCGGGCACAGAGGGCACACTTCCCAAGCTGCCCCCACAGACTCGGCCAAGGCCTCCCCACGTGCCTCCCCCGCTGAAGCCTTTAAGATGTCAGGTGAGCACAGGCCTGGAGACCCGGCCCAGCTCCTCCCAAACCTGGGGCCACGGGTCTCTCTGCTCACGTGTCCAACACCAAGGAACCCAGCACTTAACAAGACATACTACAGAGAGTAATAGACAATAATCTATTACTTTCCCGAGCATGTGTAATAGTTGACCCTCTAAAAGCACTCAGTCAGTTCTACAGGGGCAGATGTTATATTTCTATCATGTCCCCCACGCTGGCCTTACCTTTATGGGTTTCTCTCATGTGTTTTAGAAGCTCTGTCCATGTTTTTGCCACAAAAGGACATTCTTTTTGACATGTATAGCCTATTAAAAAAACAAACAGATTGGTATGTTGTCTTTTGTGAATATTCAGTATAAACAACAATCAAATTAGACTGAAAGGAAAATGATTATTATCAAAAACAAGCTAGATCAGAGTATCACACACACTACGGCTGTTGTGCCCGTCAGCGTGAGCACCGGGACCTACCCTCGTGGACCTTCCCGTGCCGCTTCAGACTGCTGGGGGAGGCAAAGTGTTTTCCACATCCCTCGTGAGCACACCTGCATTAACAACACATGAATGTCAGACGATCGAGCCCCTGTCAGAGAGAACTAACGGTACTAAGATAGACAGTATGCTGTCCTCACCCTGCCAGTCTTCTCTTCCCACAACTAAAGGAAAAGCGTTAGTCACTCAGTTGTGTTTGACCCTTTGTGACCCCATGGACTGTAGCCCACCAGGCTCCTTTGTTCATGGGATTCTCCAAGCAAGAATACTGGAGCGGGTCGCCATTGCTTTCTCCAGAGGGATCTTTCCAACCCAGGGATCGAACCCAGGTCTCCTATACTGCAGGCAGATTCTTCATCGCCTAAGCCCCTCTCAGGGAAGCCCCTCTCCTACAACCAAAGCAGTCATAAAACTGGGACTTCAAATTCAGACCTAGTTGCAGCTGAGATGCAAGTTACTTGACCAGCCTTGGGCAGAGTAAACCAAGAAAAAAAAAGTCTTTTTTTTTTTTTAATGCTTATGTGATAAAATTAAACACTGTTTCCATCTTTGTACTTTGGAGAATACACCTCATTTCCATGACCACAGAAAGATGGCTGGGGTAAATACCCAAGCCATCCTGAATCGTTTGTGTCTGGTTTCCTTAATGATGCTGCCACGGGATGGTGTGAAAAGGAAACAGGGCAGCAGACGCATTGCCTCTGGGGAGCCATAAAAAGCACGCGCCGCTTCCTCACTCCGGCCACCAGCGGCACGAAGAGGCAGCAGGGCTGCAAGCGGGGACAGGCACTGTCGCTGCCACAGATCCCAGGCCCAGGGCGGGTGAGCTGAGACAGGCGCAGGCAGCTCAGCTCAGCTCGCACACGGCCGTCAGCCGGGGCTCTGCACGGCAGCTGTCGGCAGGTGCCCTCTGCATGTCTCTGCCAACGTGTCCAGTCCCCTCTTCCTCTTCCTCCTGAAACCCCTTCTGATGCAGGCTAAGCTCAGTTACCTTTGTTCTACAGGAAAGGAATACTCAGCATCCTCATAAGGACATTTCGTATTATTCAACAGGCTCTATATAGAAAGTTAAGCTTAACCACAACTGTACTAATCTCACAAATGATTCTGAAACACATTACTCTTTCTTTTGAAAAAAACAAAAGCATATTCTGAAATGCCCCAATATGTAAGTGGGCATAGACCGTACAACT